TTTTACTCAGGATATGTATTATTCTTTTTTGCCTCTATACCAAAGAAAAGATTTAGGATTACTTATTATTTTAACCATCACTGGTTTAGGCCACTAGTAATACATGAATCAGTGGTTGTGAGATTCATAAAAATGCCTTTCCTAATAAATTTTTAAATCAATCTTTAAATAAATCAAGAATTGGTCAGTATAAACTCCTCCAAACTACAATTCTGTGTTTAGTTTATAAGCTTATTTGCTTGATTTTCTCATAACATTTATCCATTACATTCCATTTGAAGATTTGTAATTCAGAAGCATTAAGTTGCCTTCTAAAGTATGCTTAGTTAACTGATTGATAACGCTGTTATAAATAAAACAACTGAGCCAACATGCTATAAAACAGAGGCAAGAAGAGAAAGTTATATGAAGAATAAACTCTTTTTCAATTTAACCACTGAGATCTGGTTATCTATTTTGTTTTGTCAAAAAGGATGTCAACATGCAGAACAAGCTTAACAAAAGCACTTCACTCATTAACAGATTGACTTCCTCTGTTAGCAGCACACAGAAGCCAGGGACAGTATCTCAGGGACAATGCGTGTGATTGTGCTGTTGGTTTGATTATTACTGACAGCATTGACGTTGATTTCAGTGAGACCTTATGCAATCTGTACGCTTGGTGAATTCCAACTTCTTCTATACCTGCAATTTTGGGAGGTCTGTAAAAATGTAAAGATTCATTTGAAAGTCTTAACAACTGCAAACTAAATTCTACATCTGTCACATGATAAATATTATGGATATTCATAGTTCTACGCTGCTGGAAGGAAACTCAATGAAACATATGTAAACCATGAACTGTAACAGGGACTGAAACTTCTTTCATAGTCACAAAGAATGAAAGATCATTCCTAAGAATTGTTTTAGTACAGCTATTTTTGTGTTAATGCATATCTAAAGGTACCAACTCTGGCTTCGACCAGAGCCCAACAGGACAGACTGAGAGAAGGAAGGACGGAATTTCATCCTACCATCTTGCTTAGGAGGAAGTTCTTTAGATTCTTTCTTGGTTTTCCTTCCTTCACGGCTGCAGTGATCGTCTCCTAGATCGATGACGAGTTCACTCTCAGAATCAGAGTCCAGTCCTAGATGCACAGTTGGAGAGTCTGTTTCATCTTTACCTTTCAGTTTTTCTTTTGCAGTATGCTGTCCACTTTTTCCCTTTTCAGAAAATTCTTTTTCTGTGTCTGAAATTGCCTTTTCTTTGACCAGGTCATCTGTTTTCTCTGCTTCCGGACTTGGGCTTTTGAGTTCCTCCTTGTCTTCATTCTGTGCTGGGGGCTTAGGTTTTTTTTTCAAGCTCAGTGATTCTTTGTCACTCCTTGCACCTTCCTTGTCCTCTCCATCTTCTTGATCATTCTTTGATTTCTGATCCTCATCGCTATATTCACTGTCGCTGGTGTCAGATTTTTCAGAATCTTCAGAGTCACTGTGTTCTACTGCAGTATAAACAGCTTCAGATATTTCATTTATTCCTAATTGTGGGGAGGAAAGTACATTCCATGCTGACATCAGACTGACTGACATTACTAAAAACAAAACCTTTATATATACTGGGATAAAGCGTATACATGCCATTATCTTAACGGTCAGTCCTTAAGCTACAAACAGTTCCCTTAGTGTCCTGTCAGAATACCAGAATGGGTAAGAATTACCTTCCACACATGCCAATTCATACTTTCATTTCATTCAGTGGCCCTCCTTTCACTGCTTTATTCCACTACCTGCAAGGTGTCTTGTTCAACTTAGGACCACTGCTGGCAAATACAAAGAGGAACTCTTGTTACCCACAGGAAACTACCTTAAAATCTGTTTGAGTTCACCTGATTAAAATTAATTGCACGCATGTCTGCAGAATCAATTTGAGACTGCGCAAGATTTGTGAGGAGAATCTCTGATTTTTGTAGTGCCTAGAAAGTCTGGAATTAAGTGCGAGACAACACGAATGTTTCTCACAGCATTCAGCTCCTGTGTCACTGGATATACTCATCGGGGCAACTGCCTACAGTACAGTTCTTCAGTTTTTCAATTTACAAAGCAAATAGACTGTAATCCTGACATACTATCTACATCAGAATGATACAAAACCAGATTGAAAGATAAAAGCTTTTTGGCTTTGAACTGAAAGAGGATAGATTTAGATTGGACATCAGGAAGAAATTCTTCCTGGAGACGATAGTGAGGCACTGGGACAGGTTGCCCAGAGAAGCTGTGGATGCCCCATCCCTGGAAGTGTCCAAGGCCAGGCTGGATGAGGCTTGGAGCAACCTGGTCTAGTGCAAGGTGTCCCTGCCCATGGCAGGGGGGTTGGAACTGGGTGATCTTTAAGGTCCCTTCCAACCCAAACCATTCTGTGATTCTATGACAAACGTTTGAAACATCGGGTCTCGCTGTATTTTAAATTAAACTAGTTCAGCACATTCTACCCGCCTCAGGGAGTTCAAATATCTTCTACTCTTGCTTTAGTGCATAAAATACCTAAGGTTTTACTATTCAAAGATTTCTTTTCAACTCCAAAATTTCCTCACGTGCATCCTTCGGATGTCCGATCTATTCCTGACATACACTTACCAAGTTGTGCTTTACAACTCTCTATTGTCTTGTCAAGGTTAAGCTGGAACCTACTACGTATCTGTCGTTTTGGTGAGATGAGTTGCACAGGAGTGGTCTGCTGCTGGACTGACTCACTCAGCTCTTTCAGATCCATCTCGGCTTTGCTGCGATCTAGAGAAAGAAAATGGAACGAAGAAAAATTTTGTACAGAAGAAAGAGATGACTATCCAGATAAGACAAATTTCACTGAGTAACCATGCAGACAATCCAAAACATATCTCCTTTCTTTTCTAATTATGGGCAAAATAGTAATTCTAAAATGACTTTACTACAACTGATGGATACTTCCTCTCTGACACTACGTATTTCACAGGGAAGACGCATGCTTCCGTTATGTGGGTGTTTTCTCCATCAGTGTGAAATTATCAAAAATGATCATTCAGGTCTGTAAGCTGTCTGGCAGCAGAGAAAATTAAATAGCAATAAAAATCCTTACAGTCACCATTTAGATTTCAAAAGATAAGTCATGAGAATAGACATAAATATGTGAATTGTTAAACTAGATAAAGAAGTTTATGATAATAAATTTTTCAACACATGTCAGCAAAATCGTCTCTAGAGTGCTCCTATACATGCAGGCAGTTTTCCCTCTGAGACACACAGATCTGTTTGCAGAGAGCACAGGCTACAGTGCTCAAGCCAGAGCTGTCTTAGCAGCTAAGCATCACATTTCTGCTTCAGTTTTTCATTTTCAGTGGTTATGTTTTTGTCCCATAGCCCGGTCCTTTTTGCCAGCAGCGCAGACACTCCATTAGTGCCCAGGGCACTAAACCAGTCTGGGGTTAGTTGCTTATTTGGAGGAGGAGGAAGGGGACATGAGGAAGGGGGAAGGAATGAAGAATTAGGTTTGGCCGGTTTAGCTCCTTGAACTGGCTCACGGTAGGATCAAAGCGCCAATGCCGTATGCTGGAAAAGGCCAGAGGCCATGAAGAAGACAAAAGGCAGCGCTGGCACAATGCATTCGTGCTTCACCTAGAGGTGTGTTCCACAGCAGGTAAAGATGTGATGGTATTGCCTCACTTGATTTTTTAATAAAATAGACATGTTTTTACAAGACATTTTTTGTAGATGCACAACTTGGAGAAAAGTGAAATAAATACAAAGAGCTGAGCCAATGACTCCTCTGAGCAGACATTCTTTACAAATTTGAACTTAGTATCAAGGAACATTCCACATTCCAAATTTAAGAGCCACAGTACATAATGACTCAGCCTCAGCAGTACAGTTGTCTCAGTCAGACTTGGCCACTCTGTCTCCACCAAGCTGCAGTCAGAGCAGGTACCAAAGGACCATTCAAGTATTCAAGCAGTTTTTGTTAGCTGCTAAAACAGCAGGTACTCGTCTCTTCCTAGAGACAGGCAGCAACTCGTGTGGTGAAACCGCGCTTCAGGCTCCTCACATCACACACTCATACTGGAAGGGACTAAGCACAAGGCAAATTCAATCGCTTTCTGGGCAGGGCAAATTTTGAGAATAAAAATAAAGGTTCTAAGTCACTTAAGTACTTCTGAAGAATTTGTTCCTTGTACTGAAAACATTTGCTAAATTAGGTTTCTTCTTCCTGTGCTATGTCACCCAATCCACACGAATTCCACAGCAGGATCGGTTAGATCACCCTTAGCACAGAATTTGACTCAAGGCCTTCGCAGCCTTGGTTAACTCCATGGCAGGATGCAAACAGAAGGACAGTGGAGAAAGGGGAAAGACGAAATTGAGACACTACCAGCTCCCCGGGGAACCCTACATCTTCAGACATGAAAGAAGCCTCGCTATCCAACTTTCCAACCTACATGGAGGTGTCACCGAGATCTGGATTGCCAATCTGTCTCCTGAATGTTACAGTACCAGCAAAACCGAAACAGAGCCAAGGGGCAGACACGCCCACTGTGGAGACGTCTTCAAGTTCTCATCTCCACAGTCTTCACTTTTTCTCATTACCAGTCTGAAACTTTTCACTCCTTACCTGGTCAAACCTGTTGTTCTGTCTTTTCTGCCTTGGTTATGCAAGGCCATGCTATATGCAAGATGTATTTTTTCAAGCAACCTGTGCATAGCTTGGCCACGCACACCTCCAGTTTTCCATTCAGCCACTCAGCCAGTAACAACCAATGACTCCGCTCCATTATTCTTCCCCCCTCACTGCTGGAGGATGATCATAAGGGCACATGAGTACCCTTGTTTTCTGGACGTTCACTTTTGTTTTTCTCAGAGGGAAACCCTGTTCCTGCTATGTATGGCAATGAGCCACAATAAGTCAGATCTGGAAACCACAGGATCCAGTTTAATCTGGCACAGCAGACACTATTACATGAAGAAGGGTTGCCATTCTCACTTCCTAGTGCCAAGGAGTCTATTTAGCAAGGAAACTCCCCTAAAGCTGAAAAAGTAACTGGTATTCTACTTGAAAGCATACTAGCCCTTACTTTATGGTATTGCTCACGGACCATAACATCGGATTTTCTGATCCACACTATTTATTCCAAGTATGCTATGCTCCAGCTGATGTCTCCATCTGTGGTTCAAACTGCAGCACTACACATTTCTTAAAGTCGTTCCAGATGCACTGTCACCTCAGGTAAGACATCAAACAGCTGCAGGGCAGCAGAAGAAATTAATTCTGTGGTTATATCCACATGGATAGGTTAACAGACTGAAAAATATACTTGTGAGCTTGTATCCAGAATCACAGTAGCTGTAACTCACTGAAGACATGAACTCGGCGTTTGAGCTCAAGCCTTCGTGAGGTATTTGAGTAACACAAAGGGGCAGAACTCTGTTTCTCCATGTAAAATCACGTGGAGGTAAAAAGCAGCCAGAACTGAATCAGAGTACTCACAGGAACAAAACAGGACTGAGGAACTGATTTACATCCATTTGACTTTCAGAACTATTTTACCAACTTCATACTTACCTAGTCCCTCTTTCAAAATTCCAGAAACTCGAAATTTACTTGTAGGGATTTTCAAGACATCTGCTAATTCCTTTCATCCACCTATCTCCCTAGAGGGATGGTCAGTGAGGAGGGGAAAGCAGCAAGAGAGAAGCAGCCCCAGTAGATCCTAAAGACAACCTTGCCAGCAATTCACTTAAGAGACTGAGGGGTGAGGAGCAGCAATGTCCATGTAACTACAACTCTACAAACTTACCTACTGTTAAGAAACATTTGCTTTTACAGTTCAGCTAAAAAAAAAAAATCATCCTTTAACTACTGCCTTTCATCAAGAAGAAACAATAACAGGAACTTTCATTTAGAAAACAAAAGAAAGAAGACTATAGTTGATAAAACAATAATTACACATGTGCCTCATTTAAAGCCCTTTGTTCACTTGAAGCCACACACAAGCAAGTTTGTTCATACTGTGTTGCAATGACACCACGTTAATTTAGTCAGCTATAACAGTATTAGACTTTCAAAGGTTAAGACTAACCAAGATTAAGATTCAGAATGCTGCCTGGAGTGGAAGTTCTTTCTTGCTTAGCAGAAATTGGCGTTGATGCTTGAGGAGAGAAAGGTTTGGGGCTGCCTGACAAGCTCCCTGCTTGACCCGTTCTTGTTGGTGCTGGAGAAGCTGAAAAAGTACAAAATTAACAGGCAGGTGTAAAAATAATCACAATAAAGCCATATTCACTGGGACAAACCAGCATTTAAATGTACACAAGCAGGGAGAGGATTTTTGTTTAGTAATTTCAACACTGTGTTAACTCCGTTGTAAGTTACAACTATCCCTTTAATCTCAGTTTAATAAAGGAAAATGTAAGGAAAATAATTGTACTGCAGTTACATCGTTGGGCCAGCTGTGTGCTTACCCTCAAAACCACGCTGTCTGCAGTGACAGAAAGCTTCTAGCTTTCCAGATGTGGTTATTTTAGACATTAACAAATTCTGACACTCTAAATTGCTATCTGTTTTAATACATGTACCTAAGTGAACAAGGAAAACCTCACCTACCCCATTCCCTAGCTACAGTCACAGAGAATTAAAAGTGCAAATCAGAGGAAGCTTCATCAGTACAACTGGAGATCAGCAACCAGATGTCTCCGATACCCTGATTTATACGCAGTTTAAGCAAAATCGTATGCTCTGAGGCTTTAAAATCTCCACAGAATAATGTTTCAAAAAACCTTCTGGAAACAGCCAAACAGCCTAGAAAGGGACGCACTGCAGGCCGTTACCTAAAAAAGGACTATTTTCTGTCTGTTAAATCTCTGCTTAATGCTCTGGAAATATACTCACTGCTGGACAGTTTTTCTTCCCCAGTACACCCAGGATTCTCTACATATTTTCAGATTTCTAAATGGCAGCAATACCTGCTGTTTCAGTAACTGTTTCCAAGTTATTTTCTACCTATCACTCAAAATACACAGCAGAAGCATCCAAATAAAGCCATTCTTGCCTCGGGCTAGTGCAGTCATACTACCTGATTCACTTTTTACAGCAAACAAGTAATTTCATTTACGTTTCAATGGAAATACACAGATTCCAGTAATAGGACAGCTAAGTTTATACATAAAGTGAGCATTACAAAACTTAGCAACTGTAACTTAGTAGAAATGACAGGTAGGACACAGAAAATTCTAGTTTAACTGCTGAGAAGTCCAATCCAGCGTTTCTGTGCACTAGGACAGAGGACAGTGAGGCCTGAGGAAGTGAGAAAAATTCCCCAGAACTGCTACAATAGTCAAGAATTCCGAGTACTAGGACATCTGTCATCGTCCTTTATCTTCACCTGAGAAAATAGCTTTAATGTGGCTTTCCATGAATAACTCCACTACTCTAAAGAAATAATAACGTGGTCTAACAAAAGCCCTACGTTTTAAGACACAAACAGTACCTGTGAGCCACACCTTATACATAAGAGCTGTGCACACATACACACATGTTAATTAATGGGTAAAATGAAATACTCCTTTTGACATGGTACTCTACTGAAAAATCCAGTATTTTCATATATTTAAATTTATACAGGTTTTTTGGCATCACTTTCTGAAGACGGATGGGATCACATCACAGACACTTTGGTATCCAAAGGGAGTTTCACAGCCTAGCCCTTATTGGCTAGAAAGAATAAAATTATAATAAATTAATTAAAGAGCAACATTTTATCTAAAAATTGTAAGGGAACATATTTAGATTTCTACACAGACATCCTTTCACCAAACCCAAAGTTTTCTAACACATTAATGCTTAACACTGCATCATTTCTTTCAGGTAATGATGAACTTTGTTTTATGGATGAAAAAAAGCTATGATGAAGTAGTTTGCCTGAGTGCCACAAAACTAGCTAACATTTGGTCTTTGACTACTTTTTAAGTCTAAGAAGTCCAAATTCTGTATTCCACAATCCTCTTTCTCATTCTCCATTCTGCCTACGGAACTGTAGTTTTGTCATATTTTAGCTACTCAGCTGGGAACAGTACAAATTAACCTCATTGCCTTGGAAGAGAGCTATCAGATTTTGAATAGAATACTTTCTAATAATAACAATTCTAACTCTTTCTGTATTTGCTTCCACTGACCATTCATTTTGATAGTTGGGTCTATCAAAATGACTGTTGGGTCCGGGGAGACCTTATTGCAGCTTTCCAGTACCTGAAGGGGCTACAAGGAAGCTGGCGGGGACTTTTTACAAGGGCCTGTAGTGACAGGACAAGGGGTAACGGGTTTAAATTGAAAGTGGGGAGGTTTAGATTAGATATGAGGAAGAAATGCTTCACAGAGAGGGTGGTGAGGCACTGGGACAGGTTGCCCAGAGAAGCTGTGGATGCCCCATCCCTGGAAGTGTCCAAGGCCAGGCTGGATGAGGCTTGGAGCAACCTGGTCTAGTGGAAGGTGTCCCTGCCCATGGCAAGGGGGTTGGAACTGGATGGTCTTTAAGGTCCCTTCCAACCCAAACCACTCTGTGATTCTATGATTCCTGCTATTTAAACTGAAGGACTCTGGTCACTTTTCAAGATTACTTACTCCTTCTCAATGTGACAGAAAGGGCTGTTATTTCTTATCTGTGATACTGAAAGTGAAACCCATCTTTTTTTCTAAAATTTCTTCATAAAATGACTCATAATACAGTCTGCCTTTAAAAAGTACATGGAATAAAACTAGTGCATTAACCAAATGCAAAGACCTGCATCCCCCTGTTTTTTACCTGTATTTTTCTCTATAAAGTCCATGGATTCTTCACTGGCACTAAAATGACTGGAAGTTGCTTTTTTCTCTGCGTCCTGTTCAACATCAGACCCAGTGTGAACTGATGAGTTTGTACTCATTGGTGACCGTGGCATGTCTGTCAGTGAAATCCTACGGCCGGTACTACTGCTCAGCATAGACTTGCTCATGAGAATCTTGGGCGACGCCGTCATATCAAAGTTCAGTTTGATTTTCTCTTGTTTGTCTGTCTTTGCAGTTCCAGCAGTTGGGTTTGCAGGGTCCAATAACATTTGGTATTGATTGTTGGGAGTATATGGCGTCCGGAAAGGTGCGTAATTAAATACTCCAAATTTTCTACGAATGTTATCAACATAAACTTCCATTTCTTGCATTGCACTATTGAAGATGCTTTTAGTCTTTTTCACAGAAAAAGGAATTTCTTTAGACATGAGGTAGCAATTATTTATTGGAACCCAGGCCCTACATATAAAACAGAAAAACAGGAGATAATATAACTACATTTCACACTGTGGATTGACACTGGCAACTTTTGTGCACATACTGATTTATTTTAGCCTAATCAGAGACCATCTCTACCTTCTTTCTTTAATAAGTCAGTGCTTAGCTTGGTAAGTAAATTGCATGTCTTAGATTATCACTAGCTTACTTTACCCAGTAACACATAAAATGTGAATAAACACTGGTCAAATATGACAAAATACTCCTAATTAGAACAGTCCATGCAACTGTAAGACACCATAACTAACAGTCTTTCCTTGTGTCAGAACTAGCAGAGAAACATAAAAGACGGGTCAGGAAAAACAGACTTTACAAGCACATTCTTAAAAACATAATATTCTATTTTCAACCCATGTTAGGGTGATCAAACTCCTCAGTGCCAGGAAAAGTCCTATCAGCAAGTACTGGACAAATTTTATTTATCATGAAATGAGGCAAACTCTAAAACCATGCCTTCCAACATACTAAAATACCAGGAACTCTGACTTAATAATTTCATGGCCTTATACAGTTGTTTGGGTTTTTTACAGTACATGTTTTTATAACTATAGATTTATATGTTCAATTCATGACTAATCAACTCATATTCATCATGGCTTTCATGCAGAGAGTTCACAAGTACAGAAAACTTAACCCCTTTCAGAGCAAAACTGGCATTTTTAACACAGACTATATTTTCTATATTGTACCTCTTTTTTTTTTAATCTACAATTTTGTGTTTATTCCCATAGTGTTTAGACAACAAACAACTTCGCTGGCCTCTTCCACCTTTAAGAACCACAGTTCTCTGCAGCACAAAACCAGATACAGGAATTAACTTGGATACTGAGACTATAGATATTAATCTTACAAACACCTGACTTACCTGCTACAGACACCGTGTAAGAAACTAGACTGTATATGCTATGGTGTTATATAGTTTATTAGGTTCAAGGTTCAAAAGACAAGACCCAAAAACTCTAAGAGCACAAAACTACACGAATTTCATAAGTACAGCCAAAGACATGCTTTGGTTAAACTCCCACCTGTCGTGTTGGCCAAAGAAACGGGCATCGACTTGCCCATCTTTATCCCTCAGTGCTTTAGCAGGCCAGAATGGAAAGCCTTTGAGTTTAGCCCAGACCAAAGGGTGGGGATTGCTCTAGAGGAAGAGGCAAAATACACAGTAAGAAAATACAAGCAGTACTACCTTCAAATCTGATAAACAACATGATTTTTTTTCTTAATTGTCTGTATTGCTTGGATTCACTACAGATCCAGCATGCATAAGGCACTGGCCAAACACAAGGTTCCATTTTACTATATACTTGATTTACGCATAATAAAGCCTGAGAGGATAAAATAATAAATTTCAAAAATTAAATAAAACCTTAAGTATCTCAATTAAACACATTGCAATTACACTTTTTGATTCACTCATTTCTGATTAGTCCTCTCCAGATCTGTAGCATGACGTATGTTAGGCTAGTGCCAATCTTTCTAATTCTCTAATTTCCACTTAAGTCCAAGACAGAACTTGATGGATTATACACTTCTACTTCAGAATATTAAGAAGCCTTCCCAAGGTAGGTGCAGTATTAAATAAAACCAGAAAACAGGCAACCTATTAATAAGTCACCTTGAAAAATCAAGTCTAACTGCCCACATCCACACCTGCAGGAAGAGTCATTCATGCTTCAGAAACCTCACCCTGAGTGCAAGTACCACATGCAGACACAGGTGACCCAGGATTAGATGTCTTATATTTGAGGACAGAGAAGTTGTGAACGGGTTGCTGGCACCCTTTACAGCTAACTGACTGAATCAATCCTTTTGGGAACACATGCTGTCTTAGAGCTAAACATCTTGAGATAGTCTGGCTCCACAAAGAGCATGATGTGCAAGCACCAGCTGCTCGGTTAACTACAGCACCTTTCCTTGACTCAGCGACCACCACAGGTTTAAAGAAACAGGGGGTAGAAAGGAACAGTCAAATGAGACCTGCTAGTCTAATGTAGTAGCTAGGCGACCATAATCCTTTACTTACACAAGGCTCACAAAACCAATTCTCTCGTTTTTGGCAAGCAGCTAAATAACATTCCGGACATACTTCAATTTCATTCATCTGAAAAGAAAAAGCAAACACTTTTTGAAGTTTAAACGAGTCCAGAGTGTGATCAGTTTTAGTATGTTAGCCCGTCCAGTTTCCTAGCATAACCTCTCCACCGATTTGTGGTGATAAACCAACATCTACTTGCTGTGAACTCAACACTGTTTTGACAGCTGCTTATCTTTTTCTACCTCTGTAACATATGCATTCCAGTTAATAAATCAGTCACATTTTTACATCCCTCTTCAGAGTGTATGCTACTGTCATTTATTCCAGTCAAAGCGCCCCAAAACCTCCTTTGTTTGGTGTTGATTTATCCAGTGATAAAGAAGTATCATAATTTCGTATAATAGCAAAAATGTAACCGTAATTGGGGATTTCATTAATTTATGCAGAACCAAAACCAAAATGTTTTACTCCTTATGCTCATGTTGTATAAACCAGTTAAGATATCAGGCTCAGGTTATACATGTATTTTGTTGCATAAACAACTGATCATTTCTCAAAATTGTGTGAATCATGCATACTGCTGTGACAAACTGGCGATGGAGAAATCACTTCTGTAAATATAAAGCATCAGATAATCAGGTAAGTTCTATCAGTTAACATTGTTCAAATATACTGCATTTAGAATAGCAAATTTTTGTAATACTTAACTCTGTGGATTGCCACTGAGATAAGATCAGTGCAAACGATCAGTCAAGAATGCATGCAGTCATTTTTACACTTATTCAGAGGAATTTCATATTGTTACAGCAAAAGAACCACCAAAAGCATCTATGAATCAGGAGATGTGAGTCTCTTTTTCCAACTCCAAATGCTCATTTAGAAGGTGTGTGTCTTTGTGAAGAATCCATACGTCTACTTTCTTCTCCTCCCTCCCCTCTGCAATGCCCTTGCCAAAATTCATTCTGTAGGCCATGGATATCCATTTCTGAACATAAGAAAGCCTACAAAAATTACAGTTGTGCAACCCACGCACCAGAAAACACTTATTATTTCACTCATGAATACATGAAATGGAACACTTTGAAAATACAGAACAATTAAGTTAATTGGGGCACACATACCTCGTGCTCACAGATTTTGATGATGACTTTTGCTGTTTGTGTCAATTTGTGATTTCCTGAGGACACAATAAAACGCTTTAACCAAGACAACTGTCATGCTGAATTATGATCAAATCAACAGGTTTTAGATTTAAAAGTTAGAGACAAAAGAGAACACCTAAAGAGACGATACGTGTCTACGCCACAGGCTTGCAAAAGCAGAAGGCAGAGGCAGTTTGCTTATCCACACAAGCTGTAACAAGCTTTACCTGTTCCTTTTTGCAGCCTACTGCAGCCCACCCACCACCCATACACTCTTCCCGTGAGGGACATGCAGCGTCACCTCCTCAGTTAGGGTTCCCGTAAAGTGCAGCACAGTGCAAAGTGCCAAAGCAACTTGGGGGTTGGAACCAGATGATCTTTAAGGTCCTTTCTAACCCAAACCATTCTATGATACTAACTTACTTCACTTTTTTTTAAGGTGGAATAAGCAAGTGACAGCACTGGCTGTATTGGGCACGACAGTTTTATGTATGCCAGTTGTTTAAGAACAGTAGATCTGTTGTGTTTAGGCAGTACGATAATTAACAGGAAGATACTTTGAGCATTTGCCATCTAGAAGTCTACAAACTGCTCTAGGCTTTTAACTATCTCCAAGTTTCACATTTGAGGACATATTAATACTTACCCCCATTGTAAATAATGCAGTTGTGCAAAATCCATTTGGCATCAGCCAAAAATGCTTCAGTGCAACCGTACATTTTCTTCTTAACATTCTGTAAAGAGAAAATTAAGAAGGAATCAGGAAACAGAGATGAGTGAAGTGACAGCTTCTTCCTGAACATTGTTTCCCATCAGCACTACAATTAATAAAAATGAATACTTATTTACTGTAAGACGTGGGATTCTAAATACTTAAGCATCTGTCAAATTCAGGGTGTCTTTTGACTGCCCTGGAAATGTATGAACTGTCTAAATTAACTCTAAATAATGGATTATTTAGATAAGCATCTTGAACACTTTTTTAATTGAAATGTTTATTTCCTGACACGGTGTTCATTCAACACATCTTCAGAAAACCGGGTCATTGATTCCTTCCTTCTGGCACAGTACCTCTCCACAGCACTTTCATTTTTTAATTTTTACAAGACCCAGAAAAATTATCGGTCATAGTATACAAGAGAGTATGTTTGACGCTTCAGTCCACCCGCTGTGTAAAGTAATTTGACTAGATAAAAATCAGTCACATGGATTTGTTGCACTTTTTATGGTCTACAGATGTCAACCTCCACTGTAAGGACATGGAGAATGAAAACTTGCTGTCTCTCCAGCAGGTCCAGGCAGAACAAAATGCTGCAGTGCTTCACTCTTCATTAAGCAGTGGAGAATGGAGATGATCTCATGATTTGAAACTTCTAAATTATTATTAAACTGAGAGTGACAGTCCCATTATCCACCTCTTGACTGTTTCTTTTCTCTTCCACACCTCAGGTGCAGTGGAGATTACAGTATTTGTTGAATGATCAGCAAAATGAGTCTGGAATGACCCCTGGATATACACTCAAATGGACCAGTGACCCATTAAAAACTTACAGACATGATGATCAAATGCAAACTCTGTTTAATGAAGCCTCCCCACAGGATCATCCCTGGAATTAGATGAATTTATACAGGAGGAAGTCATCAGTGTAAGCTTGGCTTTTTCATACTGTTTTTCCTGGCCATTTGTTACTGGTTCAGACAAAATAGTGGACTTCTTCAGTTGGCATATGATTGTTCTTGAGAGGAACACTAGTTTTGTGTCTCTACAAAAGAAGCCTGTGCACACCCAGGCTCAGGACAAGGAACAAAAGAAGCCTGTGTGAACTCTGACTTAAGATAAGAAAGAACATCGAAACTACGTGATCTCTTGAATATGTAAATTACTTGAATATCTTATCCCCCAAATGTGTTAAATGTATTAACTACCTGAATATCTGGAATATCTAAAAAAACCATTAATATCTCGATTATGCCAAAAGAACATTTTTGTCTTGAAAGTCTCAGGCGGATCGGGAAGTCTGTACACTCAGAGTACCTCAGCTAATGGGGAAATGAGGAGGGTCTCTTGCAGCCAGGAAAAGTACGATAAAAGGGGGCTGCGTCCCTCTGTAGTTTGAGAGACCCCACAGGAATATGTCCTGTGGACTCTCCCTTTATTCGAATAAAGTTATATATTATTTTTTTACAGGACTCCTCTGTCTCCTTTGTGAACACTGACTCCTGGCAGCGTGATTTTACGTACATTCTTAAGCTGTAACTGAACTGGTATTTAGAACCACCAAAAAAAAGGCATCAAAATAATTTCAAGCAAGCTGTCTCCCCTCCCTCCCACCCACCACTCCCAAATCCTCATGACCGCAATCAAACTTCAGGAACCTTCCTCCCTTCAGCTTCATACAAACCTTCTCTAACGTACAAAGGTCCATCGGATGAAAGATATATTCCGCATAATCTGGGTGCTGATCCAGTGAAACTGGCTTTTGAAATGGCTCTGTCTGTTAGGAAAAAAAAACAACACACTGACCAGTTTCATCACTGACACAATACTTATTCTTTTTCTAATACTACTTCCAACTGTGATGTCAGAGAACATGCTTCAAAAGAAATTATAAAATTTTGTGACGTATTAAAGCACTGGCAGAACAAGAGGATCTAAAAGGTCTCATTTAACTATTTTTATTATGCTGGAAGTAATGACTGGCAAAAGTTAGGGGTTTTGTAAAATGTACTGTTATTATTTACAGCAGGGTTGTGAGTTTTATAGGATTTTGTTTGTTCCTTTTTTAATCAGTATCAGATGAAGCTCAACAGATCATCCATAATAAGGACACTAAATTTCCAACTTTTCAGACTCATCAGAATCCTAACTTTCAAAATAATGGTGCCTCAGTAAGGCAAACACATTCAAACTTTTATCAGTGGGAGTCTACATTGTACCTGCTAATGTGGAGGTGCTGCAATTCTTCACATACAACCAAGTAACAATAGGTTATTAGTAAAACACCTAAAGGGCAAAATATCTCAAAGGCTTTCATTAAACATCAGCTTTCCAAGCACCTTGTGAATTCAGTATAAACAAACATTGATGCTTTGCTTCTGAAAAGCAGCACTTAAAGCCTCTAATGGCTCCATCTAATAGGATAGAGCCACTCCACTTTACCACTCCAGAGTAAATAGATTCTAGGAGCCAAAATCTGTCAGTACTTAAGAGTAACCTTCCCAGAAACTGCCACTATTGTTCTGCTAAAATACTAATCATAGAGAGATCAGAGTTGCAAAGAGCCTGTGATTCTGCATATCTGGTTTTCCCAACGTATTTTACTGTGACAGTGCAGGCACAGAGACACCCGCCTTGCTCCTCTAACTTATGTACAGGAACAAGAAGGCAACAGGAGTTAGACAACCCTTGGTAATTCATCACATCATATTTTGAGTTCCTGTCTTCCTCACACATGTGAAAAACTAGGCATGGTGAAGAACAACTGACTAGAACTGCTGAAACTTAAAATAGCTGAAACCTTGAGGCAAGGTGATTTTGTGAAGTGAGTCTGAGACAGACATGTAGAGATAGGTAGATGTTTGAGGAAAACCAATTTTACCTCCATGATAAAAATCCATAGAAAAGCAGCCTCATATTCCATGAAAGCTAATGCCACAGGCCTTCACCACACTGAGGAAAATTTCTTCAGCGTTTTAGAAGTATATGATACCACTAACTGCTGTGGTAAGACAATTTTTACTGACAGACAGAAACCAGGTTCTCAACAGGTATAGTCAATAATACAACAGTGTCTGTGCCTGAGGTTCCTGTCCATACAACCGTATTGGTCAGAGATCACGTCTCCTCATTCCCCTTGTAACTCAGAGACAGCACTGTCCAGTTTTGGTGAGAGACCACCACGTCCCACTGGAAAGCCACATTATATTTTTCACTACACCTACCTACTGAAACTATGTCCAGAAGTTACATCAAGAAACTACATTTTAAATGCACTCCAAAACAGTATACACAGCCTAAACTAGCCTGTGTGTACTAGACAGGTGCCAGCACAGAAGCTGTCATACACAATCAGGTAAAATAAGCTAGGTTCATAATCCACAAAAGGAAGCAAAACCCAGGATTATGACAAACATAAGATCCAAGCTTTTAAAACAACAAAATCTTCCTTACCCCTGGCTGTTTCATCTTCTGTAGTGCAAACTTCAGTAAATATGATAGCTGTTCAATGGTGAGCATTGTCATAGCTTTACTCTGTGTTTCTATGCATTCTGCAACTGTGATTTTCTAAAAGTTAAGATTAAAAAATATTTTGTCAGCAAACACTTCTAGGTAATTTCTTCTCTGCTGAAACATTCTAGAATTCAAATGGAAGATAACAACTACCTTATAAGAAACAAAACATTTCTAATGATGCAATATAAGTACTTTGGATGCTTTTTTGATTTGGGTTTTGTTCCGGGCATGTTAATCAAAGAAGAAAAAACAATGGGGAAAAAGACCAGAAAATTATCCATCCTGAGGTCACGCAAAGGCAATGTGTGAATCCATGAAATTCCCAAACACAATGCAGGTTCACAGCAATGTGAATGAGTGAGAAGGTCACCTGGGCTTTAATCTAATACAAGAAGTGATCAAAGAAATCCATGACCCTATCTGCTGTCAATAAAGATACTTTGACACTAAGTATTCTTTCCTGAGGAACCATTGGAAAGGAATGATTAAATTCTTCTTCAGCCCTGCAGAAAAAAATAGTAATAATATACCCACTTGCTTATGCAGACCCTACAGTGCATTTATTTTCTGCACTGCTGCAGAGCTGATCAGCACACTAGAAGAAGCACAAGTTAAACCAGTCAGACCTGCAGAATGTTTTCAGAACTAGAGGTGCCTGAAGAAGAGATCACTCTTTGAAAAGGTGCTTCTCTAGAGATGGAAACACAAAGGAAGTTGAAAACTCGCGGTAAGAAGGCAAACACAACCAGGTACGCACAGAGAAAGCGGTGAAGCAGCAATGGATGATGCCTCCTCTTCTTCCACTTTTTTACCTTTACCAAGAGGCAATATAGGAATAAACCAGAAACATTGCAGAATGCAAAGAAGCTGCTTATATCGCACAAACAAGAAAGAAATCTACTCCTTATATCAAACTAACCTCACATTCTGGGCAAAACCAATCCCCCTCTGGTTCCGCTGTCAGTTTCAGACACTTAGCATGATAAACCCGAGGACAGAGTTCACAGCAGAGGACTTGGCCTTCCCGATGACAAACCCAGCAATAGAAATCATTCCGTCCATCCTGTGGTACAACATCAACAGGGTCTGTGGTGAGTGGCTGCTTCATATAGTAAAACGGACCATGTCTTAGTTCTGACTGAAATGTAGGCAAGAAAAACAGGTTTGGTTTCAAAACAAATTTGCATTTTTTTCAAATAGTATTCATAATATATAAGCAAACAGCAGTTTACAGACTTTGATTAACATTTATGCAAGCACAGTGTCTTATTCATTGCACAAAATCTTTCATAGAGGTTTACTTCTTACTCAGATGTCAAATGCCAGTTTACACTCAAGACTGAAAATTAAATTTTTGTGCTAAGTGAGGGCATCGAGTGCAAGACATGCAATCCAACAAATGTCAGTAAACATGTTTATCTTCAAGAAAGAAGTACAGCTATAGCAGCTCTTAGGTCCTCTAAACTCAGAATTCCGTCGGGCTGAGCAAGCTAAATACTGAGATATGGCTGAGGTAGCTAAACCCGAGACAACTGAAGAAGTTAGTCCTGAAACACGAAGTTGAACACCATGCAAACCTGTCCTAAGTTGCAAGCAGTTCACAACTTCGTACAATGAAGCAAGCCAGTGCCGATTTTGATTAGTAAGGCAAACTGTAGAGCAGGACGACCAAGCAGCAAATTCCCATCCTGAACAGCCACCTCTGCTACAGAAGCAGGAACACCAAGAGAGATTTAATCCACCTCTGAACTGCGTATTGGAACTTAAGACTCGCAACCTCCACTGGTTTGCCTGCACTCGAAAACCGTTACCTTTGTGTACTGCGTGAGCTAGTCTTACACTTGAGCCCCAGACAGCTCAAAGATGTCACCGCTGATGCCAAAACACAAGAAGCCAAGAGCCTGGGATGGCTCAAATGGGTCCCCAGATACCCCAAGTCTGTTGGATAAGCTTTGAAGACCTGCTAACATGTATTGCAATTTATTTATTAATGACAAGGAACTTTAATTTTTCTGTTTGGTATTAATTATAGGGTTGATTTGCTGAGGAGGGCATGGAAGGACATAATCTTGAGTTTTAGGCTGTATATTTACTGTGATTTTTTAATGTAAAACCATTTTCTCATTACATTACTTGTAAGTCCAAAATGCTTGTAGTTTGCAGAACCACTCTGATTGGTTCTCAGGCAATTTTGCATGCGTCCTACACCATTTACACATCCGCCAGTTCCTAGACCTTTGAGCTGTCCACATGCCCAGGTGACATGGGAACAGTGCAAGCATATGCTCGTTCCACACCTCTACAGCATCCCGTGCAGAACTAGTCGCACAGGGCATAAATTAATGTCACCAGAAACCACCAGCATGCCAGCCGGGACTGTGATACTTCTAGATTTCTAGGGTTACAAAGGACAAGGTCTAATTATCTGCACAGATAGAGGAGCTTCATGGTCAAATTAGATGATGGAGAAGTGACAACCCGGCTGAAGATGTTGTGTCTCACAAGATACACTGGAAGAGAGATCATCTGCAACTAACGCTGTGGAGTATCTTAGGCAAGGAAAGGATGTTACCTACACACATTCCCAAAACGTTCTGCTGCCTAAAATTTCACTGGAATTCCTATCAGTTCTGGTGTTTTTAATTTTCTGTTCTACAGCTGACACAGTTTCTAATACTTTGTTCCCACCATGGAAATGGGCAAAGTGTTACGTTCTGTACTTTCTCTGTGTACATATTTAAGCATGACGCCAAGACTTTCAGAAGGAAGGTTCTATGAGATCCCATGGAATAAGAGGGACAGCATAAGGCCTTAACTACATTTCAAACGTATTACTACTACAGCCATTCAAACAGACACAAAGGCATATGGAAACCCAGAGTGAAGAAGGGGAAGCTGCAGTTTACAGTGCAGAAAGATGTTCTGATTGCTGCTCTATGTCCCACAGCTGTGAGACCAACATCTCAATACTGTATACGTGGAGATGCAGCTATGGAGCATTTCCTGAACTGCAGATAAAGGAATTTACCAGAAGAATTTAGTACATATTCTGACTTTGAAGTAGGTAGAAGCAGCATGTCCACACTAACTTCTAAGAATGAAAGATACTGCTTTAAGACAAATACAAACCTGTGGGACTATTCCACAGCTATAGCATCCAAACTGAACAGAAGTCCCTCTTTGCTAGACCATGAGAGGAATTTAGTATTTTGAATGATTCAACTGGATCAAAGGAACTTTTCACTTGCTCTCATCATGGTAAAATGTTGGAAGAGCTTTAATTTAAACAGTTTTGAAAGAAAAGCTTCTCAGCTGTTTCACAACTAGCCAATTCAAGCTCAAGTAGGTGGAACCTTGTTTTAAAGTCTTTAATAAAAGGTATTAAGACCTGCAGAATGACACAGAAAACTGAAGAAAAACCACCAATATTTCAGTGCTGTTCTGGGGAGAATAACATCACTATATTCAGGTTAAATTTATATTGAAGCTAGTAGGAAAACAAGCTGATGACCTCAATGACATTATAACTGACAAATTAAGCGCCAGAAGTCCCTGATTTTTAACCTGTACTAGCTACATTCTACAATTCCACAGTTCTTCGCTTGGACTTCAACACTTTAAATACCTGTTGGCACCATTCTGCAGACCTGTTACAGCATCCACAACATGTAATACAAAGCTTCATGCAACTATAACTTTAGTAACGGTATCTTGAAATACTCAGATATTACAAAACACTTTGTAATGTAGGTCATTAAGTTAGAGGTTTCCAGTGATGTTGTCATACCTCGAAATGGATTTATCAGCCAATCAGAACCACAGCTATCAGCTACATTACACTTGAAACTTAACCTGAGAGCAAACCAAGTAACGGTACGCTTAGTTCACGTCTGTTCAACAGTAGGAGAACCTTTAACAACTCCTGCTACCATATACAGCAGAGTTTTGCACCTACTTTAGACAACAATCTTCAGGCATGCCCATTTCAAATTTGACATGAAAGGCAATATTAAATTCACTTGTAAAAGCTAAACAAAACTAAAGAGATTATATTTTCTTGCTAACTTGTAACAAACAGAGCAAAATAAGCAAGTCTGATTGCTTTTATTCATTGGATATACAACTTTATTCTATCCTATAATACTTCAGGTCTGAGAAAACAGAAAAGGATTTACCGAGAGGAACGTATCAAGTTCAACTGCAACTGTGGTTTTCGATCTAGTTTAAAATGCATGAATAACAAGTAGAAATCCACACCCTAAGTTTCAATTCCACCGTGTGTAAAATTATCGCTACACTGCACAGTTAGAAGCTCAGACTTCAGTGGGGCAACCTCTCCCCAGTAAAAGTTCAGGATGTAGAGGAATTTATACAGCCTGCAGTGAAGCTCAGTAAAAGCCAAAGTGGGCACATTACACCAGTGCACACCTACTCATGCTACCACCAGCCCTCCCAGTTATGTGACTGATCTGTGACCAGTGACAAGGAATTTCATGTTCTTTCTTAAGCAGTGTAATTGTACCAGGATAATATTTACTGTGGATGCTGTTACACCAGGAAAAAGTGGTTTAAACACTCAGGACTTAATCCTGTGTTTATACGACCACTGACACATAAAAACACTTTGCAAAATACACAGGCATGTGTCATTATTAAATCAGAAGACAAATAATTTCAGTAGGGCTAAAGACAGCTTTTATATCGTCTCCTCTAAGACGATGCAGGTGCTTTACAGTATTTGCTATTCAATACACTTCATGGAATTCTTTCACTTGCATCATACAATAAATCAGAAATTGTCAGTGTTTTCTGGAGTCAAGTTCTTCCAAGAATTACAACAAATGCTGTAAATTCAGTGTTCAGAAGACACTGAAAATAAGGTTTCAGGCATGAAGACTGAAGAGTACTGCCAGTGTGATGGTACTTTTATCTAGTTTGGTAGGAGTGTACACGGCCCAGCAATTTAAAGGAAGGGGAGGGAATCTGCAGAGTACCAAGGAAGGAGCTGGTCTACTGTTAGTCACTGGCAGTAGGACTGAAAGCAGATGAGGTACTTCCACTAACATTATGAGATCTTTCTTAATCTAGGATAAGATTATGCCACTGAACATTTCCTTTTAATGGTTTTAATTAATAACAGCTATTATTGTTGTTGTTACTGTTATTCTATTTCTTCATAATCCTTTTGTTCAAAATGGCATTTATTGCTTATACATCTTATTAGCTTTATGAAATACAAAACCAGAACACAGGTGGTCTTTCTTATACACATGTATAACCCAAAACAATATCCAAATCCAACTTATAATGCCAACTCCTAGACTCACTAAGTTCAAAAATGAATATCCGCTTCTTGTGAGTACAAAAATGGAGCTTCCTGGAGAGGAGAGAGTTTCTGATCAGTTATCTCTACGTCCTTCGTTGTTTCATACTCTAACATTAACAAGACCATGACTTCTCTTACCTGCTCTTTATTATTACTGTTCAATAGACCAGGTTTCTTTTTCTTTTTTATAGGACTTGTTGATGCATCTTGTGGTGAGTGACCATTAGAGGAATGTGGAGGGCTGGGAAATTTCCTTTTTTGTGCTGTGCGTTCGGCAGAGCCAGGATCTGCAACAGATACAAACACCATAGGTTTGAGAAGTGCATATTGATGAAAAATAAGGTTATGCTTTGCCATTCACACTCCTTTGACAAATAGGATAAAAATTCTCATTTGTCCTTCACGCAGCCAGTGACAAAACAGGAAGCACAGACCTGCTAAGCGATGCCACTGTTAAGTGAATTCGCAATGTTGTCATTTAGATAAACATTAAATACTCGTTTCTTTTCCCACGGCATTCTGGCCACCCACCTCTTCTCAAAATTCCAGCATCTTTTAAAGTATAATAACAACTATATCCATAGTTTAGCACAGTGCTATGCTAATTCATGTCATACACTTTAAAAGCAGAGAAACAACATTAACAGTTCCTGACAGCTTCATTCATTTAATTTATAAACATAAGCAACAGAAGTTAAAACATGGTAAGAGGAAAGTCAGTCTGCATCATTTATTTCTCATATTTAAATAAACTTACTGCATTATGTCCATAGAAAAAAACCAAAACTGTCCTATAGTCTGAAAATAAATATGCTACCTAAAATACTTAGTCATTTTTAAGATCTGCTAAATTGGACTGGGTAAGGAAAATTAAGACAAGACTTCCAGTCAAGCAGTAACTTTTGACAGCAAGATAGAGCAACAAAAGAGAAAGGGCCATAACTTTTCACTGCCTCTCAGTCAGAGCTCTCACATTCAACCAAGCAAATGACAAGAGCAGTGTAGTAAGTCACAGATTCCATCTATGCCTGAAGTTACAATCCCGAGTAACAAAGCTGGCAGAAGGGAGCATGTGTCTGTGTCTCAGTTGCTCATGGGCTGTCATCTTAGTGGAAACTCATCACACAAGCAGCTTAAGAAACCCTGCTGGCTCTGAACGGCTTTTTATGAAACATGCACATAAATCTTTAAAAACCTAGAAGGAAATTGAGACATAGCTCTATCAAATTAATATCTATTATGGTGGCCTTCACGTCTGCTTCCCTCTTCCAACGATGCTAAAATATTTGATTTCTTCAAAGATTTTTCAATCTTTTTTTTACTTGGTCACTGTTTTGTGTTCATTAAAATGTCCAGAAGGAATTATTTACGGCCTTAAAAGTTACTACGCTTTTAAAAAAGTGACTGGCAAGCTCATCAGAAATGTCCTAGGTAACTAAGAGCATTTGCAACTTCATTTTCTCAGAACAAAATTTAAATGATACCTAATTAATACGGAACGCTCAGCTCCATTACAAAGAACTTACTGACATTTCTCCAAAGACACAAGCATGCAATTAGCTGTAACAGACAATCACTGAGCAGTGAAACGATCTTGGCAAAACAGAAGTGAAGCCTCAACAGAGTTGGTTTAACACGTTTAATTTTTCCTTAAGCTTTTAATGCATGCAACAAAACAAAATGATGGATAAAACCACAGAGATCAGAGCTCATCTGTATCACAGAAACAACTGAAGCCTCCCCAAATATTTTTAATCCCCTACTCACATGTGCTAGTGCAAATGTTTTGTGGCTGCATGCTAAACAGTTGGGGAATAAAACCTGTCTAAAGAATAACTTTTTTCAGAGTGTTTTTTTTCTATGACCCCATTCACTGGGGTCACAGAAAATGATCCACAAATGCTTGTGTGCATTCGGTGAAGCAGTGACACTGGATGGGAACACGTAGCAAGACAGAGAAGTGCTGCTTTTGGTATCAATGCCACTTTAAAGTTGGTTTGGTTTTTTTTTTTTTTTCAAAAACCAGTTTTTGGCAGCTATTTGACAAAAGCCAGAGGCAATCAAACTGCTAGTTGCCATGACCCTATATCCCTTCTCTCCTGGATCTATATTCTTGCCTTCCAGGCCTCATTGGGTGATGGGCGGAACTGTCTCCGGTTGACAAGTCACCAAAAGCTCACTGACACACTTCACCTGAAGTCTCCAGTGAACATCAGAGGTACTAGAACAACCACCAGTAACTGGATCAACTTATCAGAGCATGTCTGTTGTCAACAGATTTAAATCAACTACAAAAAAGGCCCACAAAAAATACTGGAAGTTCCCCAAACAGAAAAAGACTGGAAACCACAGCACTAGGCCACTGCACGTAGGCAGTGGACAGACACCTTTCTCCCACAGATGCCTCCCAATCTGACTTTTAACTATTTATCGAATGAGACAACTCTGTTGAGCTACAACATTCCTCTTGGGAAATGATTTTAACAGGTTTAAGGAGTCTCGCACACAATATGGCCACTGACACTTTCTCATTAGGCAGCCTTACAAGTGAGCTAGTACAACAGAGTTGAGCTTAAAACTGTGTGCAGAGTAACGCCCTGTCAGAGTGGTGTTACACTGAACTGCGTTCCAAAGTAGGCTAAGCTGTCACACAGCACAAATCTTAGAAGGTCTACGGCACAGTGAAAAACTGGATTAGGTTTCTACATGATTTCTGTATTTCATCCAAATGTGGAAGGAAAAGTCAATAAGGAGAAACAAAAATTGGCTACAGTACTGATTTACACAAATGGAGATTAGATTAACCACCTATGCATTTTTCTCTGAATAGACAGAAAGTATTTGGAACAATAGTAGAGCATGAACTGACTACGAACAAATGGCTTTGTGCCGTTGTGAAAAAGGGCAAACAATACTGGTGTAAAAATAGAGGCGATAAGTATGATGTGATCTTGTTGTTAACCTTGGAGTGCCTAAACATATGCTTAAGTTTATTGAAAATAATATTATTTACTGGAAAGAATGAAACAATGTCAAGAAGCCACACAATTATTAACACAGCAAAACACTTTGAAATATGTGTTCAAAAAACCACGATGCCGCTAAATCTTACTCATGATGCAAGGGATCTGAAAAGACATTTCTAGACTAAATTGCATTTCAAGAACATAGGCTGTTTACACATATGGAAGAAAATACAAAGAAGGATAGAAAAGGTGTAGTGGAAGAACTCCCGTGCAAGGAAAGTTGTAGAGGTCTACATTAGTTTGTGAAAACACCAATCTTACATATTATAAGTACCATCACACTTTTTTCATATAGGTCCAGACACATGAAAGATGTAATTGTTACCTAATGAGATGTGAACATTATCCCTTTTTTTCAATTATCTATCTGCACAGAAAAACGCAGTGATTTTCACTTCTTACTACACAACTCTATGGAAAACACAGTGCTACACTGGTGACTTCTGATTGACCAAAAGCTTGGTAAGGTGTCAAGATATCGATAAAGAATCAAGAAAACTATAAATAAATATGAAAAACATTTGAAAATATAGATGGAAGAAGATATAACTGAAAGAGGGAAGAGAAATGTAGGAGCATTTGTCCATCCTGAGTTTTATTCATCTAGAACGGCTGCACTAAGCTAGCACCACACATAATTGCAACAACCCTAGGAAAAGGGTCTGCTACTAGTCCTGTAGGCACAGCTATTTCAACAGTGCTGCCTAGCAGAATGTAGTGCTGGCTCTCAAGAAACACTTTTCTGTTGACATAGGTTACAAAATTTTGGCAAAATGTAGGTAAAGCTAATTTAAATAAACAAAAACTCTTCATGTTTTCTTTGACACTAAGAAATCTGATTATTTTTTCCCTTTCCACCCCTTCCCTTTTATACCTGCAGGCAGCAATCAGGACCAGTTATAGCCTGAAATGCTTTGGCTGAACTAAACCAACACCATGTGTCTCAGACCACTATTGTTACCTGACTTGTTTCAATTCAAGTGAATCTGCCTCCCCTACCATTTAGGCCAAACCTCAGACTGTGCCAGTGCAAAGAATTGTGAGGTATGGTATGCCACCTAAATATGTGAAAAATATAATGTCTGCCCCCTCCCCTCCTTAAGCAATTATGACCATGAAAATCCTAGTCCTAATACAACTGTGCTGGCAGAAGACTAGGGTTGAGCTAATTATGCACACAAGGTGGCAGAACTCCTTTGTCTGGCATATGCTTCACATATCCCAAGACAGTTGAGCCAATACAGCTATCCTGGAAAGGAACACTGCAGCATCAGTGTCAGCTAAACCAAAACCCACAACTTAACCAAAGCGATCAAACCTAAACGCAAAACAAGCTCTGAATTCTATTCTTTCAATAAAGTAGAATGGAGCTTATTCAGCATGGGAACTGTGCATTCCGAGTGATCAGCAAAAACAGCATCATGCCTTATCTTTTCTCGCCTCACCACATGGTTGAAGAAAACTCACTGAAGAGACTTAGGCTTTTATTTCCAGACTGCACATATGCAGGGACAGCTTAAACCCAGAGAGTAACAAGAGAGTAGAGTTTTCTCCCCTTTGGCTTCCACTTCTTACTCCCAGGCCAAAGCTGCCACCAGTGGAGCACACCAGTTTCCTTTCAGTTCTGCAGCCTCAGCCTGTGGGGATGACAAAGAAGCTGCCTGAAACACTGAATGTTGTGACTCAGCTCCAAGCATGAAAAAGAAAAATCAGGTGTAAAGCTCCCCATCGCTGGCCTGCCTCTATAATGTGATGCTGTGTTTTACTAAATGTAACTGATTCGGGGTCAGGAAAAGAGTTAAACTGTTACTAGCTAAACCAGAACTAAAGTACAATTCAGTCACAGCCAAATCCAAACTACACTGCAACAGAAAAGGTACTGATTCGATACTGATTAAATGAAATGATGACACAGGCATATATGGTTGGTTAAGTGATTTGAGCACTACTCAAACCAGTGTAATTTTCTTCTGTAAATTTCTTTCTTTCAAGCCTGAGCATATTCTTTTATTTTCACACAGACTAGTGACAACTCATAGACAACATACAAACACTGACCTGAAATACACCTTTTTCTTTTTCAGCTGGCAAGTTACTGAAATGCACAGAGGTTTTCTTGAGGCAATGTAAGATGTAACTGGAAAAATTAAGGAATAGACAGGAAAACAGCAATGCACAGGCATTTTCTTTCAGATTTAGTTGTGCTAGTGGAATAGGCTAATGTCTTTAATTACCACTACATGTCCACTTAACAGTCTGTG